TTGGAGTCCTCAGCAAGCAAGCCTCCCTGCTCGCTTCAGTGCCTGGCTGCCGGCCGCCATCTTGGCTGACAGTTAATTTGCATATACTCACTGATTAGCCAATGAAAAGGGTAGCGGTCGTACGCCAATTACCATGTTTCTCTTTTATTAGTGTAGATTATTATATAGGATAGGATTCTTCTGGTAGAGTAAAACTACTGTAAAGTATAGTCTGTAGCAGACTTTGATCCTGTGGGCCAAATCATTTCCCCAGCTGACCTAGGTAGGTACAGGCATACATCAGAGAGATTGTGGGTCTGGTTCCAGACCACAGCAATAAAGTGAGTATTGCAATAAAGCAAGTTGTAATCTTTTTGCTGGTGAAGGGTCTTGCTTTCAATTTGTAAAGAAATACAACATTGGTGAGGCACAGTAAAGCGAAGCAGAGTAAAATGAGGGATGTCTGTATAGTAGGTAGCCTTTGGTTTTAATTCAGAAAACTTGTGTGGATGCTGTTTTGTCTGACACCTATTTAAACAGGATTCTGCTGCACTTAAAAATGGCACAGGATAGGAGAACATCTGAGTGGGGCTAAAGGTTATATATTTTTTGGTGTGCTCCTGGCTAAAATATTGGCCAGTTTTAGAAACTTGATCCCAATGTTACATTTTGTTCCTGCAGATGGTGTCGGCTATGTGGAGGATGGCCGAGAGATTTTTGATGATGACCTTGAAGATGATGCCCTTGATTCTCAAGAAATAGGTACCTACATTTTGTTTTCCAGAGGGTACCATGTTGAGAGTTAAAGAACTGTTTAAAATTTGAGATGACTTGGTACTTTGATACTCTTTCCTTTAAGGCAGCAGTTCTCAACCTGTGGGTCGAGACCCCTTTGGGAGGCGAACGACCCTTTCACAGGGGTCGCCTAAGACCATTGGAAAACATATTTTCGATGGTCTTAGGAACTGAGACACCGCTCCTCTATCCATCTCCGGGCAGGTCCGCCCACATGCAGATACGCCCACATACGAGAACCCGGCGTGATGACATCAACAATGAAAATACATCCTGCATATCAGATATTTACATCATAACAGTAGCAAAATTACAGTTATGAAGTAGCAACGAAAATAATTTTATGGTTGGGGGTCACCACAACATGAGGAACTGTATTAAAGGGTAGCGCATTAGGAAGGTTGAGAACCACTGCTTTAAGGGAAGAGTACCTATCACAATTGTTTTTAGGTATAGGAAATGTTCTGTTATTGAGAGGAGCATAGTGGTGTAGAAAATTAAATATAAAAAGCAAAAATACCAGGAAATGAAGTTTCATGTCTCTATTGTCCAAAGAGTTTGGTCTTTCACTTATTTTGGAATGTTCAGTCTTTTTTTTTTTTTTTTTTAAATCCTCACCTGAGGTTATTTTTCCATTTATTTTTAGATAGAGTGGAAGGGAGGGGGAGAGATAGAGAGAGAGAAACATCGTTGGTTCCCTCCTACACAAGCCCCGACCAGGGCCAGGGATTGAGCCTGCAACCGAGGTACGTGCTCTTGACCGGAATTGAACCCGAAACCCTTCAGTCCTCGGGCCGATGCTCTATCCACTGAGCCAAATAGCTAGGGCAGGAATTTTCAGTCTTGTAGTCATTTTAGACTTGCTGACTTAGATAAGTGATGCCTTTTAATTGGAATTTTTGCTCTTTGATAATAGTGTAGTACTTCAACAAGGTTTAGAACTTAATCTACTTGCTTTGTTTAATTGAAATTTAAAATGATAATGAATAGATGTGTCAGACTGTGTTAGCTGAACAATCACTGGCAAACATTTTTTTTTTTTTCGGTAAACAAGCCTGATTTAGTTCCTGTCAGATGAGAAGGGAAAATTCTCAAATTCTCTTATTTCCTGGTTTAGTTCTTTATCAGCAAACTATGGCCCACTCACAGTGGTTTATTTTTAAACAGCGTTATTGAGATATAATTCACATGCCATGCAATTCACCTATTTATTTATTTATTTTTAATTATTTTTTAAAAAAATATTTTTTATTGATTTCAGAGAAGAAGGAAGAGGGAGAGAGAGATAGAAACATCAATGATGAGAGAGAATCATTGATTGGCTGCCTCCTGCACACCCCCAACTGGGGATCGAGCCTGCAACCCTGGCATGTGCCCTTGACTGGAATCGAACCTGGGATCCCTCAGTCCACAGTCCGACGCTCTACCCACTGAGCCAAACCAGCTAGGGTGCAATTAACCTATTTAAAGTATACATACATTTAAACACATGTGGTGTTTAATATACTCACAGGGTTGTGTAGCCATCACCAGTTTCCCGTTTTCATTAACCCAGGAGGAAATCATGCCTGTCACTGTATAGCCCTTGGGCTAATACTTTGTACATTTCTAAAGAATGTTGTTGTTTTAAAAAAAAAGATGCCAAGAAGAATATACAACAGCACAAGAGAGACTTACGTGGCCTCAAAGTCTAAATTCTGTGCTGTCTTGCCCTTTTCAGAAAGTCTGGACCCTAATTTGTAGATTAACATTTTGCAACACGTGTTCCCTTTCTCCCTCTTCACTGTTCCCACAACCACATACAGTTTGGTGAATTTACTGAAAGTAAGTTGTCCATGACAATTCACCTGTACATGCTTCAGCATTTACCTTCTAAGAACATGGACATTTGTCTATTTGCCATTCTCATAATATTATCTAATATATCGTTCATAGTAAGATTTTCCCAGTTAACCTAGTAATGTCTTACATAGCTATTTCTAAAAATGCAGAGTCCACTTTAGCTTTCATGTCTCTTTAGTTTATTTAGTATAGAACAGCACCATCCCTCTCCTCTTCCCATTGGCTTTTTTTTTGTTTTGTTTTGTTTTTTTTTTGGTCTTTTATGACATTTTTAAAAGGACCAGGCTGGTGGTTTTGTTGAATATCCCACAGTCTGGGATTTGCATGATTGCTTCTTTGTGCTTAAGAGTCAGATGAAATATTTTGGCAAAAATACAATAGAGATGAAGTTGTGTCCTTTCCATCAATCATATCAGGGCACATAGTGTCAGTTTGTCCCTTTATTGGTGATACTAAGTTGATCTCTGGGTAAGATGATGTTTGTCAGAACTCTTCCTTTGTAAAGTTACATACTGTAAAACATTTTTGTGATTTAAAAATCAAAATTGTATCAAGATAATAAGGTAAGATCTTACTCTAATTCCTATGCTTTCTACTTGTCTCTACCCATCTCCACAGGTAACTACTTTTAATAGTATCTGATTATTCTTCCTGTCTTCCCTTTTATAGAAAATAAGAACGTGTATTTTTTTCTCATGTGTGACATTATTTATTTACTCATTCATGGCTTAAATTAGACTATCTTCCTGGTTTCTGACAAACTATGTAACTCTACACACTGGTACCATTTGGTAGCAGTATGGCTAATTGTGTATTCCTAGTTTTTGTGAGTCCATCATGAAGAGAATGAAATGAAACAATCCCCATGTGCTTTTTCATCTCCCTGAACTGAGGAGGATTCGTGCATGGGTAGGGTCCCTCGGCCTGGCCTGCACCCTCTCGCAATCCGGGACCCCTCAGATGTCGGAGAGCTGGTTTTGGCCTGATCCCCACAGGCCAGGTAGTCAGTGTGTGTCATAGCTATCGGCTGGTTGGCTGGTCATCCAGTCGCTTAGACTTTTATATATATAGATTGCTAAATTCTTCACCATAGGAGTTGTCCCATCTTACACTCCCATTAACAATGTATGAGTGTCTGTTTAGACCCCCATGGCCTCGCCAACAGAGTTTGTTGTCAAGCTTTTGCATTTTTGCCACTCTGATATGTGAGAAATGACATTTCGTGGTTTTCACTTGCATTTCTTTTACACATGTAGTTGGGCATTTTTTCATAAAACTTATAGCTGTTTATATAGACAGGCATACCTCAGGGGTATTGTGGGTTCTGTTCCAGTTCACTGCAATAAAGCAAATATTGCAATAAAGCAAGGCATAATCTTTTTGCTGGTGGAGGGTCTTGCCTTTAATTTGTAAATAATGCAACATCTATGAAGCACAGTAGGTCAAGCACAGTAAAATGAGGTATGCCTGTACTTTTATGTGAACCATATGTTTGTGTTTATTACCCACATTCCTATTGGGGTTTGTTTGTTGTTTTTTTAATATTAGGGAAATTGATCCTTTATCTGTGAAACATTGTAAAAATTTTCTTCTGTTTTGTCTATAAAGTTGTTTCTGGTGTAATTGAATTTATTATTATTATTTTTTTTGCAAATGGATTTTGAATCATAGTTAGACTTTCCCCAAAACCTGGTTACAAGGGAATTTACCTTTTTTATTAAAGCACTTCTATAATTTCATTTTTAAAATTTTGATCCGATCTGTAATGTATTTGGAACTGGTTACTTTCTTTTTAAAAAATATTTTTATTGATTTCAGAGAGGAAGGGAGAGGTATAGAGAGATAGAAACATCAGTGATAATGAGCGTATCATTGATTGGCTGCCTTCTGCATGGCCCACACTGGGGATCGAGCCTGAACCCAGGCATATGCCCTGATTGGAAATGGAACCGTGAGCTCCAGGTTCATAGGTTGATGCTCAACACTGAGCCCATGCAGGCTGGGCTGGTTACTTTCTTTACAAATGGGTAACCAACATTACTTATTAAAAAATTCATGTTGTCCCCAGGGATATGAGATGCCACCTTTATTATATGCTAATTTCCATAAGTAATTGAGTCTTTTTGTATACTCTGTTTTCTGTTTCTGTTGTTCTATGTATTCTTGTGCCACCACCACACTTTAACCCTTTGTACACATAAGTGTCTATAGACGCAAGTGGCGGATTTTTTAAATTAAATTCACAATACCGTGGTGTGTGGGGATGGTTTCCGTTTTGGACGCGTGGCAGTTAACTGGTTAATTATATTCATTCGAGGTCTTTTTTTTTTTTAAATCTTGAATTCTAAATCTTTCTTTTTTTAAAAAAATATATTTTATTGATTTTTTACAGAGAGGAAGGGAGAGAGATAGAGAGTTAGAAACATTGATGAGAGAGAAACATCGATCAGCTGCCTCCTGCACATCTCCTACTGGGGATGTGCCCGCAACCCAGGTACATGCCCTTGACCGGAATCGAACCTGGGACCTTTCAGTCCGCAGGCCGACGCTCTATCCACTGAGCCAAACCGGTTTCGGCATTCGAGGTCTTTTTAAGGTAGAGACTGCTCTGGGATGACTCAGAAAGCAAGAGTAAAATTGACACTATGAGAAGAGTTCATAGGTGATTTACATTCACGTGATCATAAGAGAAAGCATGGCACAGGTTGTTCTTTACTGCGTAAACGTCTCTGTTGGTTTAGTGTTGTTACAACATATTGCGTGTATATAGTTGCTGTTCTTCATAAAATGGAAATTAGGATGCTGCAATATCATAACTGGTAATCCTATTTTTTTAAAGTTTAGTTTCCTTTTCAGATTCAGTATAGCACTAAAAAGGCGATCTCGTGGAGACTGCTAGGCTAATCCCTTGCTTCCAGATGAACTTGATCTTTTTATTTCTATGGGTAAAACAGAACCTCCCCCCACCTTTTAGGAAGCTTTTTATTCACACTAACAATAGCAATTAAACAGTCACACTTAGTAACTTATCCACTTATTTTCATCAGTTTTTGAAATAACATTCAGCCCAAGTTTTCCTGAATTCAGCACGTTTTAAAAATTCTTCCCTCTCTACCTTGCATAAAGTTTCATGTTTTTGTATTTTGAATTCTTTAACATTTTTTTTCTCAAATTCTCATATACAGAGAGCAGGTGACTGGACTCTTTTTCATTTTGATTTTTGTCAGTGCATGTTTCTAAATAATTTATATTCCAACAGGAAACAATAATAAAACACGCAACAAAGAAAAGAGGACTGTAAAGAAGAGTGTGGTGACAAAACCAAACAATATCAAGTCAATGTTCATTGCTAGTGCTGGGAAGAAAACTGGTGATGTGAGTTTTATGTTTTTCTTATATTTTGCCTTCTCTTTTGTGAAAATAATTTGATATTTGATTATACAGACAATAGGTGCTCTCTATATTTGAGCTCAAATATTTGAGTAATATTTTCCCAATTTCCATCACTAAGTTGGATGTAGATTTCTAGGTGAATTTAGACACCTCAGTGGTTGGAACTTGGAGATAGAAAAGAAAATTGAATGAAAAAGCTGAACTGACTGTAGTGATTTTAGTGATTAACAGGAGGATCGTGGAAATAGAGGATGGGACTTCTAGATTTGGGAGTTATGTATACGCAGATGGTTGTTAATATCTGTGACTAATGAGCACTGAGTAGATGAGCACTCAGAGGACTGAATAGGTTCGGTTCTTCCTTTCATAGACACGTGTTCTGGGTGAAAATGGGAAGTGCAGGGGTGTTTCATTCTACCTTCCTTTCTAACTTCCAGAAAGCTATAGATTTGTCCAAGGATGATCTGCTAGGGGACATTCTACAAGATCTGACCACTGAGGTAAGTGAATCTCTGGGAGTTATTAAATATGCAGGGGCCATTGGCTGAAGAAATAGTTCAATAATTATACAAAAAAGACTATTGCCAGAATTTAAAAAAATGCAGCGACAACATCACCACCACCACCACCACCACCACCACCAAAAACCCCCCAAACCAATGAACAACAACCCTTTAGATTGCTTTCTTCTCACCATTTTAGGTGAGAGTACTTTCCAGCTGTTACAAGCTATGCAGTCCTGTTGATCGAGCTGTGTGGGGGTGTGTTTGAGGTAGTAAGAATACACACACGAGTCAGCTTTGGGAATGCACTCAGTTGCTGCAGTGCATGTTCCCAAAATAGATTGAGGCCTGTCAGTCTGTACAATTAGGCGTGAGATCCTTGTCTAGAATTGCCAGTGGGTGCAAAGGAAGAGTCGGTGAGCTGTCCCTGATAGAACTCAGACAGGCTCAGCTGTTCTGGGAATTTGCTGTTTCACAAAAAACTAAACTCTCATTTAGAGGTGTGTGTCTTTCTAAATGACCCTTGATTAAAATGACATATACTAACATCATGTAGTTCTAGCTTGACAGCTTTTAAATATAATATTCTGGAAGGGTAAGGGAAAAGTATGTTAAGTTTTGAAAAGAAAAAAATTGGTCAGGAGTGGATTCAATATCTATTCTGGGTTTCTAGTGAGTCTGTGGTAGTGTTGCTATAGTAACCGCAGTGCATGAACATAGATCCGTGGGGGGAGCAGGGAAGGAAAAATGCTTTGCTCATTGGGCTTCAATGGGGGAAGAAATGTACTTTTTCTGTCTTGTGGTAAACCAAGCATGGCCATGAAGTGTGTCTTACCTCTCCTTTTAGACACCTCAAATAACTCCACCACCTGTAATAATACCGAAGAAGAAAAGATCCATTGGAGCTTCACTGAATCCTTTCTCTATGCACACCCCTAAGGTAAAGTGTGTGGAAATACCTTCAAACTCGATGTACATTATTGCTTAAAATTTATTTTGTTGCTTTTCTATGTGAGCGAAATACCTTTGAATGTCTTCTTGATTTTTGTTTTAAATTAGGACTCCCATTTCATTATATAGTTTCATGTATTTCAAAAATAGCATGTGCCTGCTTTTGTCATAGTAAATTTTGTGGTAAGTAGCATGTGTTTATTATAGGTATTACAACTGTGCTAAATGTAATACTTTTCCTCCTGGAAACAAGTGTTTTTTTGTAAACCTAGGTAAAAGTAAAATAATTGAAGCTGTTACATTAATAATACACAAAATCGTTTTATAAATGGGAACTGTCATTATCTCTGGGCAGGGCAGGACAGTGGGCATATTTTTAGTATGCAGGTCTAACTGACTAAACATTTAAAAACATTTACAGGTAGTTCCTTCAGGAAAAACTGCTTCCCCTGTCTCAAAGAAGGAGCCTCTGTTAACTCCTATTCCTCTTCAACGTGCTGAATTTGCTGGTAAGTAACATGTCAGGCAGAAGTACAAGAGTGTGGAGGAGTTGCAAAGTGCTGCCAAAAATGGAGGACCCAGGAAGGAGGAAGTGGAGGCGATTTTGAAGGTATTTGTGATAGCAAGTTTAAGTGTGAAAGATTTGAATTCATAGCAGTAAAAGTTACAAGGTACATCCGATTTGCAAATACAGTGTGGGAAAAGAGTAGGCCCCTATGGCTGTGCTGGGGAGGCCTGTGTGCTCCGTGGCAGCAGTTTATGATGGGAATGTGCAACGATGCCTACAGGAGAGCCAGCACCAGCAGCAGTGTGTACACACGACAAGAAGGATGCTGGGGCAATAGATTTTGAAGATGGTGACTTTGATGAGCCCATGGAAGCTGAGGAGGTGAATGTGGAGCCCGTGGCTGCTAAGACCTGTGACCAAGCGAGTGAGCCAGCAGAGGTGGTGAAACCCGAGGCAGATCTTGGGAAAGGGACCACGCCCTGCTTGTAAGAGCATTTTATGACTTTTTCTGGCAAGTAGTGCTACAATTGCTTTGTTGGATTTTGAAAAGTTTTTTGAAAATGTGATTTTTGCAGAGGAGGTTTTCTCCCAGATGTCTCTTGTTGGGACATTGATCAGGAAGATGACAGCAGTTTCTCAGCCCAGGAAGTTCAAGTGGATTCCAGTCACCTGCCACTGGTAAAAGGGGCAGATGAGGAACAAGTGTTTCAGTTTTATTGGCTGGATGCTTATGAAGATCAGTACAACCAACCAGGTAATCATACTGTATGTCTTTAACGTGGAATAGCGCCTGTTCCTTAAATGCGTTAGTGATTGTAATTGGCACAGGCTCTGCACTCACATACGTATATAGTAAGGGTGCATGAGGCACCTGAATGGAGAGGAGCTGTGTGATGTGAATAATCCTCAAAGATGCTTTTTCCCAAAACCAGTTAGTTATATATGGAATGTGTACTTGTAGTTTACCTTTGATGTATCCAAAGTTATAGTTAATATACTTTAAATGGAGATTGTCATGAATTTCTTCATTTATTCAGCAATTTAAACCCAGTTTTGTGTGCCAGGCATTGAGATGGGGTGACCAGGCTGGACAAATTCTTTATCCTAATGGAACTTACATTCTAGTGAGGTGGGAGCAAGTGGAGGGGAATAGGCAATAAATAAGGTAAGTTGATTAATGGTTTAAAGGCAGTTAGTTGGGGGATGGACTTGGAAGGCCTATCTAAGGAGATCACCATTGGGCTAAGATTTTAGGCACGTGCAGATCTGAAGAAAGAGCATTTCAGCCTGACGAACCAGTAAGCACAGGCCTGGAGGGAGAAGGGAGGCGGCTTGTTGGTTGCAGCATAGTAATCAAGTGACAGGATTGGTAGAAAATGAAGTTGGAGAAAAAGGCCTAGGGCAGATGATGAAAAACCTTGAAAGCCATATTAAGGAGTTTAGGTCTTCTTTCAAGAGCCATGGGGAGATGATGGAAGATTTTAAGTACCAGCAGGATGGGTGGGATGGTGTTCTCATGGTTGGGCATACATTTTAACAGGAACCCTCCAATTTGTGTGGAGAATAGAGCTTGCGCATGTGTGTGTGTGTGTGTGCGTGTGTTGGGGCTGGAATGGGGTAGTGGAAAAGTGTAGAAGCACTGGAGATCAGTCAGTGCAGGACAGGTGTGTGGTGGAGAAAAGTGAATGCATTTAACATGTATTTTGACATGAACTTGTTGATGGATTGATGTGAGGGTTGACAGAGAGGAGGGATGAAGATTGATTCCCAGGTCCTTCTCCGAATGAGCTGATACTATGAATTCTGACTCACAAAAGCCAGGAGGTTCTCCAGTTTCCTTTTGTGCTCCTTTGAGCCCTTCTTCACCACAGGGTGGGGCATGACAAAAATCTGTTGGATTAATAGAAAATACACCCTTAAACAGAGTGACTTTTATTCAGACCCATTTCTGCATCTGAGGGTAGAAGCAAACTATTTTTCAAAATGGTTTCCTGGAGGCTGCATCCAATGAAAATGGAGTGTAGATGTCAGTGAAGCAAGTGAATGAGTAAGAAGAATAAGTATTAATTGTCGAACTTGAAGGCCAGATTTACCTTTAAGATAATCAGGCATTGACTTCAACTGGAAAGACCTTAATGGTTTCTCAGAGGGGAAACAGAAGTGGTAATATGTTTCAGCTTATCGAATATGTAGAAACTCTTGCAGAGCCACTTGAGTAGCAAACTGCCATGTATTAGTTCCTTAGGTAAAGATATAAGCAGTCTTAGAAATGGTATCATATCTACTTTAGCTAGGGAAAGTCAGTTTGGTTAGACCCTGTCACCTCTTTGACTACCTCTTTGTTACTTTCCAGTGGGATGTAGGCTGGCAGGTGTGATTACATGAGGCTGAGCAAATATTTCCCATCCAATGTGTAAGCCCAGGTTGTCCCATTGTACTGCTGCAGGGGACACCATTTCACATGTGCTTCATAGGACCTCTGGAGCATGGCTGTGTGAGTGGTACTCACTAGAGTACCACATGGTGGGCCTGCCCTTCCCAGTACTACTGTCTGTGCTTTGCTGTATCTGCTTGATGTTAGATTTGATTCTCTGTCTTGGTTAATGGTCCAGTCAAAACCAGAAATGTGGGAGGCAGCTTTGATTCCCCCTTTTCCTCACTTCCTTCATCAAGTCTTACTAGTTTTCTCTCCTAAAGTAGACAAGGTGTCTTGTCTTTCTCCTCACAATTCCCACCTCTGATCCCTTCTTGCCTACATCACACCAGCTTTCTAACCCCTCAGCTCACATTGTGGCCAGAAGAATAACTCTGACCATGTCATTTCCTTATTAAAATACAGCCCCAGCCCTAGCTGGATTGGCTCAGCCTGCAGACTGAAGGGTCCCAGGTTCGATTCTGGTCAAGGGCGCATGCCTAGGTTGTGGGCTTGATTCCCAGTAGGGGACGTGCAGCAGGCAGCCAATCAATGATTCTCTCTCATCATTGATGTTTCTATCTCTCCCCCTCCCTTCCTCTCTGAAATCAATAAAGATATATTTAAAAAATAAAAAAATAAATAAAAAACAGCCTCAGTGGTAATTGCTTATAACATAAAAGTTCAAGTTCCTTAGCAAGGCTTCCGGTGCCTTCCATGCATGACTTTTGTGCCCTAGAAATAGCTCCCTGTCTGTGCCTGATGCTCTTTATACCTTGTCCATTTACTCATTGTGTTTGACTGGAATGCCCTCATATGACTCAGCCCGTGTCATCTCCAGGAAGTTTCCTAATCCTCCAGACTGGCCCCAAGAGCCCTTTCTCTGTGACCCTATCATACCCTTTTCCATCGTAGCATTTGTCATATTATTTTGAAAATATCTGATTCTGTGTTTTTGTTTCCCCTAAAGCCTTTTAACTCCTGGAGGCCTGGGACCTTTTATTTCCAGCTTTTAGTGTGATGCCAGGCATATAACAGGTGTTTAATAAATGATTATTGAAATAAACTGCAGAGATTGACAATCCTGTAGACAGATACACAGGAAAGGTTTCAGAGATCCAGAGTTGCATTCGCTACTAGACTGAGTTTGCCTCTTGAAGCCTTATAGCAGCATGGTGTAAGAATAGGTAGCATAGTCCTGGCTGGTTTGATACAGTGGTTAGAGCATCAGCCCAAGCACTGAAGGGTTGCAGGTTTGATTCCCGGTCAAGGGCATGTACCTGGGTTGCGGGGTTGCTCCCTATCCTGGGTTGGGGCACTTGCAGGAAGCAACCAGTCGATGTGTCTCACATCTATGTTTCCCTCCCTCTCTCCTTCCTTCCCTCTCTCTCTGAAAAGCAATGCAAAAAGTATCCCCAGGTGAGGATTAACCATAACAAAAAGAATGGGTAGAACAAAAGTAGATGGTGCACCCGCCCCAGGTTAATTCACATACGTATAAAGCATCAGATTGCTAGTGTCAGTTGCCAAGGATTACAACCTTAAGGAACAACAATCCTCTTTCTTTCCTGTGTGAAAAGAAGTGTATTATTTCCATCTTTTGTTTACTGGTTAATACTCTTATTAAAAAATAGAGCATTGCCGAAACCGGTTTGGCTCAGTGGATAGAGCCTGCGGACTGAAGGGTCCCAGGTTCGATTCCGGTCAAGGGCATGTACCTGGGTTGCGGGCACACCCCCGGTGGGGGATGTGCAGGAGGCGACTGATCGATGTTTCTCTCTCATCGATGTTTCTGACTCTCTATCTCTCTCCCTTCCTCTCTGTAAAAAATCAATAAAATATATTTAAAAAAAAAAAAACAGAGCATTGTTTTACAGGGTAAGGTCTTGAGCTACATTGTCCACTGTGATAGCCACTGGCCACATGTAGCTCTTTAAATTGAAATCAGTTAAAATGAAATAAAATTTAAAATTCAGCTTCTCAGCCAATAGCCACATTTCAGGTGCTCAATAGCCACATGTGGCTAGTAGCTACCATATTCATGGATGTCACAGATACAGACAGAACAATTCCCCCAAAGCCTTTTTTTAAAAATATATTTTATTGATTTTTTACAGAGAGGAAGGGAGAGAGATAGAGAGTTAGAAACATCGATGAGAGAGAAACATTGACCAGCCGCCTCCTGCACATCTCCCACTGGGGATGTGCCCGCAACCCAGGTACATGCCCTTGACCGGAATCGAACCCGGGACCCTTGAGTCCGCAGGCCGACGCTCTATCCACTGAGCCAAACCGGCTTCGGCCCAAAGCCTTTTTTGACTACCTCTTTGTTACTTGCCATTGGAACTCCTGGGCGGGGGGGAGGGGGGGGGCTTTTATTTCCAGCTTTCAGAGCAATGCCAGGCAGTGCTGAAATTTCTTTTTTTTATTGATTTTATTTTTAGAGAGAGAGGAAGGGAAAGAGAGAGAGAAACATACATGTGAGAATGAAACATCGATTGCCTGCCTCCTGCACGCCCCCTACCTGGGATTGAGCCTGCAACCTGGATATGTGCTCTGACTGGGAATCCTTTCAGTGTACTGGATGACACCCAACCGAGTCACGTAGGCCTGGCAGTGCTGACATTTCTATCGGCTAGTGCTAGTCTGTATCGTAGTAGATATCGGAGGTTAAAATTGAGGCACTGAAGCACAGGTATATTTGCGAAGCAACCAGTTTATACTATGTATTGTTGAATTCCTGGTACTAACCCATAGTCTTGGATAAGCCTTTTCAACCACCCTTGGGAAATACTTTGCAATTGAAAGAGGTACTTGTCTGTCATTGGTCTGTCTTCCAAATGCTAAGGTAAAAGGAATTTTCTAGTGCTGGATAATGCCTTAGAGATCTTCTAGTCTAGTAATTCACTTATAGAGGAGGAAGCTGAGGTTCTGAAACTGAAGCGGTCAGCTCTTCAACAGCAGAGTTCTGGGCTCCTCACCCTCAGTCCTGCTGTTCTGTGCTACTTTTCAAGTTGTGTCCTCGTGATCGATGCCAGTGGGTTAAATAAGACGGCTTTTAAAAAGTCCTTTAATCTCAGAGGGTTGAACAGTTTCATCTTGATCACTGAGCCTTGATGAAATCAATGCTGCTAATAAAAACGAAGTACTCCCATAGACCCTATTATTGTTTCTCAGTTTCTTACAGATTCTAAATAAGTCAGTTGTTGCTGAATGCTCCATAATTATGAAAAGAATCTTACTCTTTGCATATGGGAAGATATCCTGTCTTCATTATGACTTTTTAAAGGTTGAATAATCCTGACTGCACCTGGTTTCAGCTAGTTACTTGGGGGGGGATGGAATCTTTGTTTACCATGATCTTTTTGTGGCAAATGAGGCATAAACAGTGTCAAATGTGTTGCATGAAGTGTGATATTAGTTTGACTGTAAAATGAGCTATTTGAATCTTTGAATCCAATATTAGGGCCTTTATTTTTCTTTGCTTGGAATTTTGGTTTTTTTTTCATCTCTAACTGTTATAAGGATGACTTTTAATTTTCTGCACTACTGAGATTTTTTCTTTTTAATCATCGCCATAGTCCCCCCTTCTCTCACCCCAACCCCCCATCTGTCTCTTTCCCCCCAGATGAAAATCACACAACTCTTAGAATTTTAATCATCTGCAGAAATGAAAATTCTTAGATGGTCTTATTTCTACTAGAACGAGTGACAAAAGGAAGCACTGATGAGCTATCTTGTGAAACTGGAGTAATTAGCCTTGTGTACAGTATAGCCTTTATATATGCCAGAATTTTCTTAATGTCTCAGACAAATGGCTGTGTTGAGTAACTGTGTTGGTTACTGCTGTCTAATTATTCATGGAGTCCAGAATTTAGCACAGTGATAATCTCTTAGTTTGACTAACAAATCTCTGGAGTCCTATCTTGATGGCCAGTTTTCATGAACAATGAATTGATGTCTAGAAAGGCTTTCTTTGACTTTGTAGTATATATTACAGAGGGATCTCAAAAGGAGTGTGTCTACTGAGTTGGTTATTTGCCCATTTGTTAAACTGAAATAGAAGAGAGGAACATTATAAACACTACCTAGCTAGGTGTCTTAAGTCTGTGAAGTCAAAGGGGTGAAATAGTAGATAGTACTTGAACCCTATTATGAGACATTTGTTATTATATGGAATAAGATATATGAGATAAATTGTTTTTCCCCAAACACAAGTTTACATATGGGAAAATACTGAGGTACTACCCATAGTTATCCTTACACATGAATGTTATTTTTTATCAGTAAGTACAGTGCTAAAAAGGAATTTAGCATTCTCAAAGTTCTCACAAGAGGTTTAAATATGAGATTTGTTGGACAGTAGTTTGCTTTTTTGTTTCTTTTACTCTGGGGAATCCTGGTTCGGGGGAAAATGTATTTTGTGTTTTTTACCCAACATTGACTTAGGATGGCTCCCTGATTCCCCAGGGGTTTCTACACTGACCTGGGGTGTCTCAGTAGTTCCCCATTGTGTCTACTGAGGCCTGTGATAGCTCCCTAATAACCAAGGTTTGTCTCTATTTACCTAGATGTCTCCCTACTTTTGGAAAAAATGTTTACACCAAGAATCACTCTGTCCTCCTACTGGTCACAGGTTTTACCAGTGTGGTATTGTCATATGGCATAAGTACTGAAAAAAGGAACTGGTCTTGGGGACTGGACATCAGATATAAATTTGCTGTAAAAATAATTTACCATGAAGGCATAAATGTGTGGACACATTCAGTCTTTGTAGTGCCCCTTTAATGTGATGTAATTGAAATGTTTCTTTTTTCATGTTTTTTTTCTTATTCTTTTAGGTGTGGTATTTCTGTTTGGCAAAGTTTGGATCAAATCTGCTGAAACCTATGTGAGCTGTTGTGTCATGGTGAAAAACATTGAACGAACGCTATACTTCCTTCCCCGTGAAATGGTAAATGTTAGTGATTAGCTTCTAATCCTAAGTGCATTCTGTGTTCTGCCACCAGCCCTATTCTTTCTTTTTTTTTTTTAACTTCAAATACAATTGCTGTGTGTGTGTGTGTGTGTGTGTGTGTGTGTAGGAAGGGAGAGGGAGAGATAGAAACATCAATGATGAGAGAGAATCATCGATCAGCTACCTCCTGCATGTCCCCCACTGGGGATCGAGCCCGCAACCTGAGCAGGTGCCCTGCCCAGAAATTGAACCATGACCTCCTGGTTCATAGGTGGACGCTCAACCACTGAACCACACTGGCCGGGTGTCCACCAGCCCTATTCTTCAACAGGGCCATGAATTAGCCACAACCTTGATGCTTTTTATTGCTGTCTGCCTAGTCACCACTGTTTGGCAGCAGCTCCATTAGAAGTTGGGGAAAGTAGAGAAATGAAGTAAAACTCTATTTGCAACTTGTTGGAGTGTGAAAGAGTATAACATTGTCTGAGTTTTAGTATGTGATGCTGTCTTTTCCCCAACTTCTCATTTCCATAGTAATGACAGCTGGGAGTGTATGGCTCTAAAATGTAGCGTGGAGTTTGGCCCAGTTTTCATGCTTTTGTTGTATAGGCAACAGTATCATTTCATCCACAGCCATTTAACAGGGTCAGTTCCATTTGCTTCTCCTTTTTTATTGGGACTTAACATCCACACTCTCCTCCCCATCTGAGTTGAACTGTGAATATTCTTGGTCAGTATTTACAACACTTATCCCATTTTGTAGGATCGATCAATCGATCATCTTTATCTCTGGTTTGCTTTTATGATGCCATTGGGAGGAATTGGGCATTGGGTTTAGGACATTTTTGGGTGTGTTTACATATTTGAACTCACTTGTAAGACTGTTCTGTTACATGTTTAAATGGGGGAAGATGAAAATTGATTTAGATTTGGGTTTCTGGTGGTTGAAAGATTTATTTACAGATACTCTTTTTTCCCCCCTCCCCTTTCCTCTCCATGGGAGAGCAGAAAATTGATCTAAACACAGGGAAAGAAACAGGAACTCCAGTTACAATGAAGGATGTTTATAGTGAATTTGATGAGAAAATAGCAACAAAATATAAAATTATGAAGTTCAAGTCCAAGGTTTGTATTTGGTGATAAATTTTTCCAGCTCTAATTATTAGTTGATTGTTATTTTCTGATTTAGCAAATAGTTGTTGCATATCTTATTTGTACAAACTGCCCTCTGTGTGGCTATAATTCATTGAATAGAAATTTCATAGTTAGCAATGTAAAACCTTGTTGGATTTGTAAAAATTTTTACTTCTCTTTATACTGCTTATAAAATAATCACTAATTTGCATAGAAAGAGCACTCATAGCAAAGTAATTGCTTCCAATAATTAAAGCATATCTTGTGATCTTATTCCCAAATGGAAAAGAACTGGTTCTGATCTTGTTTGTATTAATTATTACCAAGTTGTCTTAGAAGGTTAAGTGAGGTTTTATCTTTAAAAGTTAGGGACTGTGATGCTATTCTGATACAATAAAATCTTCTGCTCCTGTGATACATATTGATCAACTGTGAGATATTGACTTTGTGAGATATTGATGCCTTTGGCCATCATCGTGGGGGCTGTAACTCACTCAACATACTGGCTATTAACATACTGGCTATTAACAGTAATTGCAATAAAGGGAGGGTTGAGTTGCTGAAGATATGGCTAATGGTCTTAACTATTTGAGCTTTGAATTATGGCTGATGGATCAAGTCTCTAAATTTCTAAAAGCAGTGTGGTGTAATGGTGAAGAGCATAGGTGCTGGGCAATACACCTTGTGCTTCTAAGTCCTAGCCTTACCGCTTCCTAAGTCCAGGGTCGTCACAAGAGCTATTTCAAGAGTTGCTGGAAAGGTTAACTTGATTAATTCATTTTAGGTTATTAAAACAGTACTTGGTACATAGCAGGCACTCAGTAAATATGAGCTATAATTATAATGCTAATTATTAATTTTTCTAGCAAGATGGGGTTGCTTAATATTAAAGAGTAGCAAATTATTTAATGCATTAACATTACAAAATTTTTTAATGTTTATTGACCTTGAATGCAAATATTTCAAGTTTTGTAATGTCTAAGAGAAGTCTTTTTTTTTTTAATTAATAAATCTTTTATTGTTCAGATTATTACAGATGTTCCTCTTTTTTCCACCATATCTCCCCTCCACCAGGTTCCCACCCCACCCCATGCCCTTACCCCCTACCACTGTCCTCATCCATAGGTGTAAGATTTTTGTCCAGTCTCTTCCCACACCCCCCACACCTAAGAGAAGTCTTTTTAGCATTTAGTTATTGGGTGTTTTAATCTTAGTTGAAAGGGGAAACAGGTGCCGCATTGGCTTTATTTACCTCTGTGTTCCATAAGGATGTTAGATTCCTAATGATTAAATGCAGGGACATGCATTGTGTATGTAATGCTTGTCAATTTATTTTGTGAAGGTTTTGTCTAAATGATTTTAAAATATTTGCTTACCCAGATAGTAGAAAAGAACTATGCTTTTGAGATACCTGATGTTCCAGAAAAATCTGAATACTTGGAAGTTAGATACTCGGTAAGTCAAACAAAGAAAATTACTGGGTTTTGGTTGAAAATGACACTGTTCTATTTTTGAAATTTCAATTGGCTTTCAATTAGTATTGGCAGAGCTCCTCAAGCCCACAGTTCATGGAGGTGGACTCATAGTAATGAATAATTAAATTAAAATGGATAAAAATTTAAATACATAGACTACAAATTGTACTGCTTTTCTCTGCATCTTTAAATAAATAAATTGAAACTGCAGAACTGTTTGTTAAGTGGAACAAATGCCACATGATGGAGTTTACCATCATTAGTGTGTTGAAGTGTTCCTTCTGAGCAGTGGAAAGGTGAGAGATGAGAGCGTCAGTACTGTTACTATAGTGCTGCTCTTGTTCCCAGGACAGGTAAGGTCATGGTTATGGGCTATTAATTAATTAACTGGACCTTAACCTCTTTTTACTTTTGACATAGTGATCCCACATGTTGGAAAAGGGAAACTTTTAAGAAATGTTTCTGACAGTGGTGATGAAATGTACCATGGAAGCATTTTGAATGAGTCCCATTCTCTTGCTTTTATTCCCCTAATGCAGTGGTACTATTTGGCTGTTTTTTTTTATTGTTTTTTTTTTTATCAGTAAGGCATGTATGATTCTGGACAGAAATCCTCTTTTGGGGAGCTTCTTGGCCTATTTTTCTTCTAATGGATGTCATCAAGATGCATTATTTTGTCATTGTGAATTGTTTTTGTTTCCTACTGTGAATTGTTTTGGATTTCATTTGTGGCAAATTACATTCCATATATATAAAAGGAGTTTCTTCTGGTACTTCGTAGAGAGGCTTTTGTTTATTTCAAATATAGACTTTGGAAAATGTGAAGTAATAGTTTTAAACAAAAAAGATTTTTTTTTCTTTTTTGCCTTTTTCAGTCTGAAATGCCACAGCTTCCTCAGGATTTGAAAGGAGAAACTTTTTCTCATGTATTTGGGACTAACACATCCAGCTCGGAACTGTTCTTGATGAACAGAAAGATCAAAGGACCTTGTTGGCTTGAAGTTAAAAATCCACGTAAGGAAAATTTTACTTTCAGAATGCTAAGTAAATTGCTGATAGATGCGGTTTTTAAAAGGGAAGTTAGGGAATTGGTCTGTTTATTTCAGTGTGCCCACTTCCTTTTTTATGTATTTTTCCTCAAGGCTTTCCTTGAGTGAGGACAGGGAATATGTTTAGAATAATTTTATCACTGTAATGCCTGTCAGTGTAATCAGAGAGAGGCCTTAGTTAGCCCAGGTGGCAGTTGGTCGCATCCCTCATTGGGCTGCTGTCAGTGTGGACTTCCAGCCTGGCTGATGTGGCCCACCTCTTCTTCCTAGTTAACTGCTAACCTCTGAAGGAGGGCGAGTACCACTGTCCAGTGTGGATAGTGCTTAGTCTCTTATCTGATGTTTTTCGGTATTTGCATCTGTGATACTCTGTTTTGTCTTCACAGATCTCTTAAAAATGTTTTGTGATTTCTCCAAGGCAGTGGTTTTTATTTTATTTAAATTTATTTTATTTTATTTTTTTAAATTCATTTTTATTGATTTCAGAGTGGAAAGGAGAGGGAAAGAGAGATAGAAACATCAATGATGAGAGAGAATCATTGATCGGCTGCTTCCTGCACACCCCCCCACCAGGGATGGAGCCCACAACCCAGGCATGTCCCCTGACTGGGAATCGAATTGTGACCTCCTGGTTCATAGGTTGATGCTCAACCACTGAACCATGCCGGCTGGGCACGTTTCTGTTTTTTTGTTTTTTTTTTTTAAACCTATTTTGGGTCCTGGAAAATCTGATGGAGGCTGTAGACCTATTTCCCAGGCAGATGAACATATGTGTACACACACACACACACACACACACACAAGGATTTGCATACAATCCAATAGTGTGGTTTATTGTTACTTAAATGTTATAAGACATTGTTATTAGAAGATGGGATTGAAGATTTTCTCAGTTAATCACAGATGTCTTAATTGTAGTATTTTTTTCTTTTTCCATAAATGGCTTTTGCTGTGTTGTATTTGTTCTCTTTTAGAGCTCTTAAATCAGCCAATCAGCTGGTGTAAAGTTGAGGCAATGGCTTTGAAACCAGACCTGGTGAATGTAATTAAGGATGTTGGTCCTCCCCCTCTTGTGGTGATGTCTTTCAGCATGAAGACAATACAAAATGCAAAGACACATGAAAATGAGGTAAAAAAAAATAGGACAGATTTTGTATGTATGCCTTAGATGCAAATACTTGCCTGAACTTATACAGCTTTTCTGCAAGGGAAAGTTGTTCTTTTTGAAGGGCAAAGAATACTAATTCACTACCAAACTCTTTTAAAAGACTTAAATTGATGACTTATTTATTTTTGGGTTTTAAAATTTTTTATTTTGGAGAACTTTAAATAGACATACAATAATTTAATGAACTCCCATATACCAATCAATTATATTCAGCAATTAGCAAGATTTTGTCACACCGCCTCCTTTTTTACTCCTGAAGTAGTTTAAGGCTAATCTCTGACATTTGTGTCATTGCATCTCTCAAAGCATGCATACTTTCCTATATAATACCATTAATCACCTAAAAACATTAACAGTGATTCTTTGATATCATCTAAAATATCCAGTCCATAGTCACATGACTCCTTTTCTCCAAAATGTCTTTTACTGTTGGTTTATTTGAATCAGGATTCATACAAGAGTCACAGATGGTGTTTAATTTTTATGTCTCTTGAATCTCTTTTAAACAGGAGCAGCTCCCCCAACCCCTTACAGTTTTTTTCCCCCAGTGATTTTAACTTATTGAAGAATAACTGTTGGTTGTCTCATAGAACACCCCATTTTCTGTTTTTGTTTGGATTTATTCCTCTATACCAGAGGTTGGCAAACTATGACCTGTGGGCCAAATCCAGCCTACCACTTGCTTTTGTAAATAAAGTTTCTTGGAATATAGCGATTTTATTCATTTACATATTATCTGAAGATGCTTTTGCACTACAGAGGTGGAGTTAGTAGCCATGCCAGAGACCATAAACCCTGAGAGGCCTACAGTATTTTCTATCTGGCTCTTTATAGGAAAAGCATGCAACCCCTGCTTTCCTAATAAAATGTTTAAAGCATTCATTCATATGTACTAAAATCTTTATCTTTTAATATTCTTGGTGGTTTTGTTGAGAATGCAGAATACATAGTAGGTGTTTGATAAGATATTTCTTTTCCTCTTTTTTTTGCAGATTATTGCTGTGGCAGCTTTGGTTCATCATAGCTTTGCATTAGATAAAGCACCGCCACAGCCTCCCTTCCAGTCACACTTCTGTGGTATGTATTTTTAAAGCTGGTTTACTAATGGCTTGATTTTAGTTTTTCTTTTTTCTTTTTCTCCAACTGTTGGATCACTAATTTGTTTTTTAAAATGTTTTCAAAAGTAGTGAGTGTTTTATTGGATTGGTTGCCTCTTATTCAGCTGGTTTATTTTGTTCTAAGAGAAGTCAGGAGGCAGTTTGATATCTTTTTCTGTTCCAGTGGTTATTCTATTGGGATGGAGTTTTTTTTTCCTGGTTCAAACTTATGCTTTAACTACTTTCTTTTCATGGTGTCATTCTACCAACCCATCACAAAAGCCTGTTTGTTTTGGCTATTCTTTTGAGGTCCAACAACATGACCAATGGAAATTCTTGATTCTCTTTACTCTTTAGAGATTGGGGGAAATTTATATTTAAGACAGTTTCCATTTGGAAACACTCAGTGTATGTACACTTGAAATTGGCTAAGATGTGTGTTGAATCTTTATTTTTCGTCATTTTTACAGTTGTGTCTAAACCAAAGGACTGTATTTTTCCATATGCTTTTAGTGAAGAAATAAAGAAAAAGGTAAAGGAAATTATTTATTTCTTTTAAATATGAAGCATTTATTTGTTTAGATTGAAAAAAGGAGGATGGTGTGGATTAGTAGAAACAGGCTATTTTATGTTAATCGATTGTATCTATTCTTGGTACATCGTACTGTGACATTGACCCATTAAAATGTATTAGAAATGTAGAACTAAAAACATTGTTTAGCAATGTTTAAATGTTTCACCACCTGAAAATAGTGGAATTCTACAGTGTATGAGGTTCAAACCCTCCTTTAGATAGCTTAATAGGAAGCTTTTCCAAAACTGTATGATCAGGTGATTACTGTTTTGGGAAATTGTAGGGCAGAGTGCTACACTTCCCCTTCACCTTCCCCTGCTCAGCTTAAAGGAAGTCAAGTGTAGTTGGGAACACTGTGCACATTAAAGGGGACAAGTATGAGAAAGGTTGATGTGGGCTTGTCCCAATAGATCAGTGATTTCTAAACTCCCAGTATACTCCATTAAGAAGTTTACTCCCACTATACCCATGGGTCCTTAACAAAATGGGTGGGGGTGGATTGGGGAATTGGATAATGTAGTAAGTTTTTCACAAAAGTAAATGTACTTGAGCCCTAGCTGGTTTGGCTCAGTGGATAGAGCGTTGGCCTGCAGACTGAAGGGTCCCAGGTTCAATTCCGATCAAGGGCACATGCCCGGGTTGTGGGCTCGATCCCTAGTAGGGGGTGTGCAGGAGGCAGTGATCAATGATTCTCTCATCATTGATGTTTCTATCTCTCCTCCCTTCCTCTCTGAAATCAATAAAAATATATTTTTTTTAAAAAGTAAATGTATTTGATGTAAAAGATTTCTTTTTGAGAGCATATGTTGTTTCTTTTATGAAATGATGGTGTTGGTAAATTTATAGGGTTTTTTAAATGTTCTCACTTGACAAAATTAAAAGTTAGCAACCTATCTGGTTCTACTTATTTTAAGTTGGCTTGAGAAGTCCAGTAGCCTGGTGGTACTGTTAGACCAGGCTGTTATTTGTAAAGTGCCCTGAATTACCTATCCAAGTAGAAATAACCACGAAAATTCATTCCATTAGAGTCAAACTGATATTTTTTTAGTCAAACTAGGTATAGAAAACATACAGCCTTCAACTTTCATTTTAGGAGAGTCTTAATAAATGGATCTTTTGAACGCTTGATTTATGGTTAGTAATCCAAGTGGAAGCCTTTTTGTGAAGATAAGTTTTATTTATATTTAAGACACTTGTAATTCTTAAATGAATGTTTGAGTTTAGTCTAGTTTCTTATTTATACGTTCTTACATCACTATTTGATATTAGTTTATACAGTCCTTGGAACTTCTTTGTGTGGTAAATACATAAACAGTGAAGTCTAAGAAAGTTGGTACTCTGATTCATGTGCTATAAAATGTGTCCAGATGACAAGTGTGTCCCTGTGGAGGGACATCTCTGCACTTGATAATGCTCAACACTTAAAAATTTTTTTTCATTCACACTCTAATTACCAGTATAAGCTCCTCAGTATAAGCTCCTCAGAGACTTTATGCAATTAAGGCAAAACCTATAATCAGGAATTTTATTGCTGCATTTAGTTTTGAGCTGGGTAGTTTCTTTTAACCCTAAGAAATCTTACCCTGCCTGAGCAAGGAAGCAAGATATAGTACTTGAGAGTAAAGACTGACTGGTTTGTTTGTTTTTTATCTAACAGAAAGTGAAGGTTGAGATTGCTGCAACTGAGAGAACACTGCTAGGGTTTTTCCTTGCAAAAGTTCACAAAATTGATCCTGATATCATTGTGGTAAGTAGTTGTTTGATCATTTCATAGGGAAGCTCTTCATTCCTTAGTTATTTTAGTTTGATTTGATTGGCATTTTTTTTTTTGAGCAGCAAAGAATCATTTCAGAGTGAAAGAACTCTATAGATTGGAGGGAATTGCTGTACTTGCTGCTAACAGAAAGGGGGGAATATCCCAGCCCACTACAAGATAGTATTTTTCCTGTAATAGAAAGGCAACTTATGAATTATTATAGAAGTTTATGCTAATCCGGTTGCACTTAGAGACCACCAGCCTGTAAGTTAATAAACTTGGGTCAACTGTTGGTATCTCCAGAATTTTGGCATAGTGGTCCAGCTGTATAGCGACCACAGGAGTTAATTCACTTGGTTTGGTGCCAATCCCCGAAGTGTAAGTATTTGAAGTTTATGAGCTCAGTGGACCTCTTTGATATATTTCTTTGAGAGCTCATGGCCAGGGATCATTTTTTCTCTTGATGACTGGGTATGCTCCCATGAGGTAGCAAGAGGTAATAAGTCATTGAGTTATCTTTGCCCCAATTCTTTTCTTTAATTTTTTTTAACTTTCAATGTTCATTTTTTATTGGTTTCAGGTGTACAGCTAAGTAGTTAGACAATCAAATACTTTGCATAGTGTCCCCCTTGATAGTTCCTGTACCCACCTGGCACCATACATAGTTATTACAATATTATTGACTATATTTCCTACACTTTACTTACATCCCCGTGACGATTTTGTAGCTACTACCAATATGTACTTCTTAATCCCTTCAACTTCTTTCACTCAGTTGCCCAACCCTCTCCCCTCTGGCAGCCACCAATTTTCTCTCTGTGTTTATGTGTCTCTTTCAAGTTTGCTTGTTTGTTAATTTTGTTCTTTAGATTCCACATGTAAGTGAAAGCATATGTTATTTGTCTTTTTCTCACTGGCTTATTTCACTGAGCATAATACCCTCTTGGTCCATCCACGCTGTCACATTTGCCCCAATTCTTAAGAATGATAAAGCAACATTTTATTTTATGTTTCTTCTGACCTTCCTTAGTTTGTTGGCTCCTTCATAGGAGTCCTTCCTTTTGTCTTTTTTTCTGAATTTGGGAGGGAAGTAGGATATAAATGCTTATATTTTAAATGTGCTATTGGTAATATGATTACATGGAAGGAAGCCTTGCAAACATGTTCGCCATATATTTCTCTGCATTCATTTTGGTCTTGGACACCTTTCCTGACAAGGTGTAGCCAAAGTACCGAGAGTCTATAGGTTGTTACCAGGGTCTCTCCACCCACTTCCCTTATGGTGTTTTAGGACCCATCTTGAAAGTGTCAGGAAGATTCTGTTCACAGTGCCCTACTGTGCTTCTCTGGCTTAGCACTAGACCCTCACTCAGTCTTTACTAGCAGTCTCTCTCTTGGGCCCCAAGAGATGCCATGGTGCCTAGGGTAGCTGGGCTGCCATAGGGTATTAGAGTCAAGTCTGTGATTGAGAAATCCAAACTGATGTAAGAGAGAATCCCGACATGGGTTTGAGTCCCTAATTCCAGGCATGATAATTTGGAAATGAGACATCCTCACGTCCTTTGGGTGTCTTAATAGACAAAATTGCTATAAGTATATAGCAGTATATATTTTTAATTAAAATTAATAACTAATCTATTGATCTGATTTATTTTAAACTTCATCTCGTTTTTTTTTAAATATATTTTATTGATTTTTTACAGAGAGGAAGGGAGAGGGATAGAGAGTCAGAAACATCGATGAGAGAGAAACATCGATCAGCTGCCCCCTGCACACCTCCCACTGGGGATGTGCCCGCAACCAAGGTACATGCCCTTGACTGGAATCGAACCTGGGACCCCTCAGTCCGCAGGCCGATGCTCTATCCACTGAGCCAAGCCGGTCAGGGCTCATCTAGTTTTTTAATAAGTATAGGCAGTGAACCATATTATTCACATGATGGAAATTATCACCGTAGACATGGAAAATTTGGTTACATTTTTGAGATATTCTTTATTTGGTATAGTATTGTGTCCTTGTTTTTTTTTTTTTTTTTTTTTACAAGTTTCTTATTTGAACTATTGAGTGGTATTATTTACTGTGTTGCACATTGCTTAAGAGTCTAAATCAGTAGTGTTTGAACTCAGTTCTTTAGGAAGAAACTATATGCAGTTCCTGAGCTTTCTAGAAGTCTGTGTAAATGCTATACAACACAAACAGGTTCTTGATTTTTAAAGAAGTAAAATGGAATTGTTTGAATATAGCTTTTACTGATCATGTAAAAAGTGTGGACATTAAAATTTGCCCTTGCCTCCAAGACTGTGAGGCATGAGCTGCAAATTAAAAGACATTATCTGAACCTTGCATCAATTAGGATGAGATAAAGTTTATTTCAGCAATCTGTTTAGCAGCCTTGTGAATGTCAAGGCTAATGAATGCTGCTGATGAATAAGTTCCTGAAGAAGAAAGGATCTCAACCGGAGGTAAGCTCATGATGCCTTCAATTAGAGACCAGAAAAAGAAAGGGCAAAGAAATTCTATGCATATGAAGATAAATCCTCTAATTTGCATTTGATATGTTATTGGCTGTCTTCTTTTTCTGCCTAGGGTCATAATATTTATGGATTTGAACTGGAAGTGTTACTGCAGAGAATTAATGTGTGCAAAGTTCCTCACTGGTCCAAGATAGGTCGACTGAAGCGATCCAATATGCCAAAGCTTGGGGTAATAATAATTTTCAAAATTTTGCTCTTTTAATTTGACTTTTTATATGCATTGACTAGGAATTGGCTGTCTTGTGGTATGACATTTTAACTTTGGCACTACACATCTTTTCCTTTGAATCTAGCATTTTATTGGTAAAAGCCACTGCCTAGTTCTTTATTTTACTTTCTTTTTTTTAAAATTAAATCTTTATTGTTCAGATTACAGTTGTTCTGCTTTTTTCCCCCCATAGCTCCCCTCCACCCGGTTCCCACCCCACCCTCTGCCCTTCCCCTTCCCACACTGTCCTCATTCATAGGTGTACGATTTTTGTCCAGTCTCTTCCCGCACCCCCCACACCCCTTTACCCCCTGAGAATAGTCAGTCCACTCCCTTTTTATGCCCCTGATTCTATTATATTCACCAGTTTATTCTGTTCATCA